ATAGCGTTGGCCTGCAGAAGGGTTCCAGGTTTGATTCCGATCAAGGGCACATGCCTGGGTTGCAGGTTCGATCCCCAGGAGGGGGCGTGCAGGAGGTAGCCAATCAATGACTCTCTCATCATTGATGTTTCTATCTCTCTCTCTCTCACTTCCTTTCTGAAATCAATCAAAAAAATATATATTTTTTTTAAAGTTAAAAAATAAAAAAGTCTTTGTCACGGATTTATCAAAAACAAGTAATTTTTTATAAGAAAAGTTCAAAACATCGTCTCTACTCTTCAGGCCATTGAGAGGACAACAGAAACAAAACCATGTGTGCAGCTACAGCTTTCATATGCACACACACACACACACACACACACACACACTTGCAATTTCAAAGCTTCACTATATAAATCAGCAATGCCCAGTAGCACTTTTGATGATGGAAAGATTTTATATCAATGTTGCCCATACAGTAACCATTAGCCACTTGTGACTTTGGAGAACTTAAAATGTGGCTAGTGTGACTGTGGAATTAAAATTTTAATTTTATTTTTTATTTTCTTTAATTTAAACTTAAGCCACCACATGTTAGACTAGCACATACCATATTAGAGAGTAAGAAATAATAGACTCTTAAGAATATGTAAGGGGAATTTAGAATGCATGTTTTTTTCTGTTGCAATTACTCCTAATTTGGAGACTTCAAAATTGCTTTAGACTTTCAAATGTTCCCTCCACAAGCATGTGAATTTCAAGTATTTGCCAATTCATGCTGAATGTGGAGTCAATGGAATCATCAAAATTGAAATAAAATAAGGTACTGGGAGTAAGATCATGAATGTTGTAATATGGCCCAACTTAAAACCCCAGGTCATCTACTTACTAACTGTAGCCCTTTGGAAAAGTTATCTTACTTTTCTCAGCCTCAGTTTCCTCATCTGCAAAATGAGGATACTAGTGTGGTGGGCAGGCAGACATGAGCAGAGCAAGGATGTTGGTCCCCAAGGTGGAAAGCCCCAGTTGCCTAGCAACAAGCAAAACTGGGAAAACAAGGCCCTCATCCCCAGGGAACCTTTCCTCCCCTAGCACATTGCTGATCATTCGGTTTAGACCCCCTGACCGTTCATGTCGCTGGTCATGCAGTTAAGATCCTCCCCTGACCTTTCTTCCCCTGGCATGTTGCTAGTCATGTATGTGAGAGACCCCCTTGGGGGAACAAACTAGGGGCCCAGAGAATAGAATTAAGCATTAAGCCCTTAAGCATTAAGACTCCAGGACAATGATGTGTACATCTAGGCCTGAGTTGTGTTTCAGCTCCAGGCCCAGAAAAGCAGCCAAACCAGACGAGCAACACCACAGCTGATGTCACGACTACCTGCATTGACAAATGACCTCTGCCCAGGTGCTGACAAAGTCAGAGGAGACCATGAAAGGACACACCTGGAAATCTGATGAATGTTCTATTGAGATCCTTCCCAAGGACCTTTCTTAAAATCCCAACCCTTAAAAACCCAGCACACTCTCCCTCCTGGGAGCACACCCAACACCCACGCCTTTCCCTTCCCCCTTCCTCTCCCCGAAGGCATGTTACCATTACCCTGCTCACTCCTACGCTCCAAGGGCCCCTTCTTTTGCCTCTGTAATTTGTTTCCTGAGTCCATTTATTTTATCCTTCGCTTCTTCTACCACTGTGACTTTCTAAATAAATTTTCTCTTATACTTTGAGTCTTGGCTCTGAATTTTTTCCTAACCAGAACTCAGGTACCAAGGTCTGAACCCACCGGTCTAACACCTGGTGCTGTTCTCACCATCACCAACACTCGGACCTACTTCACCAGGGTGTTGTGAAGATGACATGAGATAATGCATTTAATAGCATTCTTACATTTTATAGTGAAGCTCAATACACTGTAGCTCTACCATAAATAATACACTAAAAAAAAATCCCCATAGATCCAGAATATTATGCAGATGCCTATATACAATTTTTTCTGGAAACAACTTGACTTGAATTCTACAAGAGCATTTGACATGGTTTAGAATAAGTACCGTGCGTATATTCTTTTGCGTACATGTGGGATGTAAGCCCTTCTTAAGGAATACGAGGGGCTGCCATTGCGAATAAAGATCTATGTGCACACGTGGTGTCTTACCGAGCAGAGCAGGCCTTGTGATAACTTGCCAACACCGGCACCCTTCCAGATCCATGGCCCAGATCTCTTGCCCTTTGACAAAGTATATCTGTGGTTTCTTTAGGTGAGCAGTATCAATAGTCATTACTCCACTTAACTCGGATTCAGTCACATTGCAAGAACATTGGCTCCTTCCATCTGGATGGCTTGTAGCTGTGGGTTGCAGAATTCGGTGCAAGGTCTGGTTGATAATACTGTAGTAGAACATCTGAGAGCCCAAATCGGAAACTTCTGTCCAATACAGGCGACTATTGGGGGAAAAATACCCTCCGACTTAATGAGTAAAATATATCATTTCAAGTATTAGTTTCTTATGAAGATCAACCATTTCTAATCATTAGGAGGACAAATACATCTTTTAGAGAGAACAGGTCCACATCCCCAGTAACCTTCTTCTGAGATGGAGGAGGGCACAAGAAATCTAATTTTTAGCATTTTCCAATGATTTCTAAATAAATGTGTTTACAACTAAAGCCTTTGAACTACAATGACTTTAGGTGCTGGATTGTCTTATTTTTTATTGATTTCAGAGAGAGGAAGGGAGAGGGAGAGAGAGATAGAAACATTCATGTTGAGAGGGAATCATGGATCTGCTGCTTCCTGCACATCCCCTACTGGGGATCGAGCCAGCAAACTGTGAATGTGCCCTTGACCAGAATCCAACCCAGGACCCTTTAGTCTGCAGGCCGATGCTCTATCCACTGAGCCAAACTGGCTAGGGCTGTATTGTCTTATTAGTGATTGTAAATATAAAAGACATTTGCAACTTTTCATCAACACCTATCTCCATTCCCCTCCTCTCAGTTTAGTTTCTGCTTCTTAATAGTAGTTAACAATCTAATTTCAAGATAGATCATATCCATGCTATGGCACACACAAAATACATCTTTCCAGCCTAAGAAACTGCCACTCAGTTGCTGAATAGAGGCCTTAAAACTCCTCTTTTGAAGACATCAATTAAAGATGGATGAGCCCAGAATAGCTTTTACTGTGTTTGACATGCTGCCCATCTACCTCCTGCTCATCTTCTCCCATTGTCTCGGTCCCCTTCTTGTCCTTACCAACTGAGGATATTATTAAATTCACTGATATAAAAATCTGCTTTGGTTTCCTGCTGGCAATTAACCTAACTTTAAGCTAGTTAAGTTGTTAGTATGGATTCAGTTTACATATTTGTGGTTGTGGGTTCATAGTTTATATGTAGAGATACTTACTAAAAGTTAATGTAGTGAGTCAAGACCCCTAAGCATCTTATGTTCCCATCATTAACACCTAATATTAAACCAAAGATATTATTTAAATATGTCTCTTTATTTCAGCCCAATAGAAACAGGTATACTTCAGATACCTTAATAGGGGATACACGAAGAAAGAGATTATCGTTGAATTTCTGTTGCAAATTTTCAGCTTCCTGGGATATTTCACCTTGTGTTCAAGATCGACATCAAATATTTGCATTCCATTTTGTGATTCTTTCATCACAAAGTAGAGGTGTCTTGAAATCCAATCAATTGTAATAATTGCGATATCAAAAACCAGTGCATCTTGGAAAATCTTAAATCAGGTAGAAAATACAGCCAAGGAGATAGTGGTCATTTTTTTTTTTAAGGTTGAAGACTTTTCTGTAACCACTCATATTACTCACTTATCGCACTTCTCTTTTGTAATCCCAAATCTCAGTAACTCTGGGTTGTGTGCCACTGTAACATTGGTCCCCTTCTCGCATAGTGTATTTTCCCTGAGTGATTTCAACTACCATGGTTTCAACTGTGATCCATAAACCAATGCTACAAATCCACATCTTCAGGCTGGTTCCTTATTGAGTTGCTGATTCAAATATTAAACTGCCTATTCAACATACATGAATGATCCCAGGAAACAGAATTCATCACTCTATGTCCCAAACCTCCTTTTCGCTTACATTTGTATTTTTATAGATTCCCAACACTCACCCGAGGAGCAATCCCATCAATTGTGGTTCATCCTTGACTTCTTCCTACCATTACTACAAATTGTGAATTGGTCCCATTTTAAATATCTCTACAATTTGTCCTCTCCTTTCTCACTTTACTGCTTCTCATTTCCTGCCTTTCCTATCTGGATTTCTGTGATAGCCTCCTAATGGTCTCAGATTTAACCTTCTCTGAGTCATTATTCACACAGCTAACAGAGTGGTCTTTCTAAAACACAGCTTGATCATGTGAATGACCCACTAAATTTCTTTAACGGCTTGCTGCTTGCAAAGGAGGCCCATTCTATGCAGGCTCCTGCCTACCTCTACAGCTTTACCACCTGCCTTTCACTCTGCCCTCACCTCCATCTCCATTCCAAGCTCCTCTATTTATGTATAGCTCCCTGAATATGCTATGGATCTCTTGTTTCCCTGACTTAGCACTTATTGCTTCCTCAGCTTTTCCCCACCTTTACCTGGCTCATCCTCTTGGAATCCAAGATGTCTTCCCATCCTACCACAACCAACCTGGATGGAGCATCCATTCTATGAGATTCCACCATCTCCTGCCCTCAGCACAGCACTTACACTGTGTTCTGTCTGCCTTCTCCACTAGCAAACATTCAATGAATGCCTACCACATGCCAGGCATTGTGCTATGCGCCTTACATGCATTATCTCATTTGATCTTCACCGGAATCCTATGATGAGATACTACAAAACCACAGCGATTAAATAACTTGCTGATGGTCACAGATCCAGTAAGTGGTGGAGTCAGAATTAAATTCTAGGTTGTTAGATTCCAAAGTTCACCCTCTTAATCCCTGTGCCCTACTGTCTACCTACTGTTAGACCAGTACTAGACGGGGTTTGTTTAAGGACTACTACTTTTCTTTTTCACCTTTATTCCAGAAACTAACACGGCGCCTTAAACCCAATAACTGTTTGCGCTAAATTAATCCTGAATGGCATTTGCCCAAAACCTAACCTGAGCTTATTTGTGACTAAATAGTTATAGGGCATCTGTCCTTTTCAACCATCCTAATCTTAATGCCTCAACCACAGGCCAGTCAGTTTAATTACAGGGCAGTGTGATATGCAGATCTTCTACTTTCTTCCTTTCACAACTGCACTGAAAGTCCTCTTAATAACAACCTTGATAGTTAACGTTCTTCCTTCCTTTCTAAAGAATTACAAAGTGATGTACCTCAGAGCTGGACTGATTGTGCATGTTCAAAAGAAAGAGGGAGTCTCCCTGAGCATAATACGCCATTGCATCATCAGCTGTGTAGCCCATGGCACTGATGTCTCTTTCTGCCGAAAACATCCATACAACTTGATTTTGATCCATATCTAACAAAATCATCTTGTTGCCCAAAAGAGTTATGAGGCATGGAAATGGGTTGACTTCTGAAAACAAAATACAAGTAGGTAATATGTATGAGCAAAGTAACTTTACTTTACCAAAATCCCTTAACTCAATCTGATGTCATTTTGAAATCCATGGGATTCCTTTGTGTTCATCTACTACATCAGTCTCAATGGAGACAGACTAGGTGCTCCGAGTCTAGATATATTTAAGCATGTTTGATTATGATAAAAATTTATTTTTTTATTTGACTTTAACTTCAGCTCAGAGATTATACTTATATCCCTGAGAATACCAAGAGTTAAAAAAAATTTTTTAATACACTAATTGTTATTTACACAGGTTTTAGATAGTACCTGATGTTTGGGACTGCACCAAGTCAGAAAATGGTCCAGGTCCTTTGGATGTGAAGACTCTAACCTAAAGAAAGAAAAAGATACAAAAAATTGCATTTGACAGTGTCCTCAGTGACAATAATTGAGTTCTGAGACTAATAAATTATTGAATTTTTTATTTCACACTCTTTTTAAAAAAAATTTAAAAGTATGTTTTATTGTTTTCAGAGAGAAGAAGGGAAAGGGAGAGATAGAAATATTAATGATGAGAGAGAATCATCAATTGACTGCCTTCTGTACGCCCTCCCCCTTATTGGGGATCAAGTCTGCAACCGAGCATGTGTCCGTACCTGGAAAGCAACAATGTACCCAGGACTCATGCCCTCAAGTTGAAAAGACATCACTGAGGGAGTGACGTTGACAGCAATCCAGCCTTCAAATGTTTTGTTGGTGGCACTTTGGTTGGATATTTGATAGAAAATTTCAAATCTTGTTAACACACCATTTTCATGCTTAGGCTTATTCCACCTAAATTCCACCACAACTTCATTCTTATTATGGTATTTTCCACTTGATAATATAAATATCCTGGGATTCTCTGGTGCTGATGGAACTGAAAAGCAAAGACACCGATAGGGCAGAAAAGAATAGAAGGTTGACTTTTACCATTCATGATAAGAGCATGGAGCAACCCAGTAATAACTTTCTCATTTCAGATAGTTGAGGTATATCTATCTTCTTCTTAAATATTTTCAGGAGAGACCAATCCGTAGATTTCTTCAGGAACCAGCTTAATATTTAAGCAAATCTCCCTTATGTCTAATCCAAACCCCTCTTACTACCACATAGGTACATCTTCTTGTCTGGTCCCCGTATGGATGGAAGGTGACTTATTCTCCTTACAAAATACAATATTTACTCTCATCTTGACAGAATGATTTAGCTGGAGGTGAAAATGGCAGTCACCAGGAAGGAAGGCAGTAACCCTATCTATTCTTCAGCTAGTTCAAGATAAAAAATACAGCTATTGGGCCCTCGCAAGTTTGGCTCACTGGATAGAGCATCGGCTTGCGGACTGAGGGGTCCCAGGTTTGATTCCAGTCAAGGGCATGTACCTTGGTTGCAGGCACATTCCCATTAGGGTGTGTGCAGAAGGCAGCTGATCGATGCTTCTCTCCCATTGATGTCTCTATCCCTCTCCCTTCCCCTCTGTAAAAAACTCAATAAAACATATTTTTAAAAAATACAGCTATTGGGGATCCTAGGTCTTCTCCCCTTGAGCCCTCCCAGGAGACAAGATGTACCCCAAGAGTATGATTTGAAGGTCACCATTTATTTTAGAGCCAAACCAAGCAATTCACTCAGTCCTTTAATTTCTCCATCTTTTAAAGGAAATTTCTCTTCCTGATTTTCCAGTTATTCCTTTTAAGATATGATTTTTCTTTCTTCAGACTCTCCCACTCGTCTCCCCAATCACATTGCTTCTTAAGGTTCAATGCTCACGTCGTTATCCAATCTCCATGCCTTCTCATATTGTCCTCATATGGGATACTCACTCTTCTTGCTTCATTCCTCAGGGCCCAGCTAGAGTTTCCACTCCCTAAAGGCCTTCCTAGCCATACCATCCTGTATATTGCCCGCTCTTAAGAATGTTGAGGCAGCTCGATGTAGGTGAAGGTTTTGCAGTCTTGCCTACTTACGCCATGCCATCACTACTCAGTTATCAGTCTTATTTCTATTATTGTTGGCAGAATGTGTTCATCTCTCTACTGTTTTATGAGCTCCATCAGAGAAAGTACCTTTTCTCAATCCTTGTTAAATCCCTCCAAATCTAATATAGGACAGGTACACAGTAAGTGCTTAATAAATATTTGTCATTTTGAATAATTTCCCAACTATATTATAAATTTCCTGATGGCAAAGGCCAAATCTTATCACTCTTCCTTACTACTCCCAACATCCAGCGGAGTGTTGATGACCCCAGCCCTCACTACATGCCCTGTTAGATATAGTCAAGTTTACTTCCACAGAAGAATCCAAGCAAGAATGACAACCCAAGACAATATCAAAGATAGCATACCTGGACCCAAATGCTAACTGCTCTGAACCTGCCTAAGCTTATGAGACTCATAGAAAAATATTGTTGAAAGACTCTTAATGTAAATATATATATATGTATATATATATATATATATATACATATATATATATATGTATTGTAAATGGATGTCCATGCTTATTGAGCTTTTACTGGCTGCCAGGTCCTGTGGTGCTAGGAAGTTATGTAAATTAAATCAATATGACACCATCATTTGCCAACATTTGCAAAAATGAAGATTAAATTCCAGCCCTGTCACTTACTCTCTATTTTACTTTGGGCAACTGCTGAGCTCATTTTCTCCTTTTCATAGTCAAGATAATAACACCTGTCGATCTACCTCAGAGCTGTGTAAGGATCAAATGAAATGATGTTTCTGACACACGATAGGTATGTATTAAATGTTTAATAAAGGAGTGATACACATAAATGTGTTTTTTACACTTGAAAGTGATAGACACATGTAAAGATATAGCCAGTATCCATTTTAAAATATATTCCAAGGAAAAACAATAAATTTAAACATCAGTTATTCATCTAGGGAAGATTCTGAATTACCTTTCATGAGAATATCTCCCAACAAGCCTACCTCCCACAACACTGTCTCGGTTCATAAATGCCCCATTTCCTTATAAAGCATTTCACAAATTACCTGAAACATGTTCGTGCATCTTGTATGTCATTACAGTGAAGTTAAACAGTTCTTTTTTAAAAAAAAATCTCTGAAATATACTTTTGGAATAAATTATGCCGAGTTATTAGTGTTGTTCTAATTTCTAAAAAGTCTTTGAAAGTGTATTGAATCTAAACACATCTACAAAACTGAAAGTTATTCTAAAAAATTAACTGTCCATTCTAGATCATGCAAAGTGAGATTCTGCCCTTTTCTTTCTTAAAGATTTTAACCCCTGTACCTGTTTCAGGTGCTCGAAGTGACAGAGATGTTTTGGGGCCCTTGCCCCAGTAGGTATAAGGAGTGACAGAAAGATTAAATAAGGCATAAGGCTCCAAGCCTTCCACAGTAAATACAGGTAAAGGCTGTTTTTCACTAGCCAGGAACTAAAATATAAACACAAAACATTATTTTTTTAGGGAGAAAATCAGAAAATCTTTTATTCCAACTTAACTAAAATCTCCAAACTTCAGTTCACATATAAAGTCGAGCCCTTCAAATTTGGAAATGCTGATGTCGGTAAATTCCAGTTAAAGAGTCTAATATGCCAGCTGTTAGCACTAACCACAAAGCAGTCAGAGACTGGCTAGACCAAGGAACTCAGGAATAATCCTGACAGAGGCTAATGGGGCAACCAAGGAGATGGGTTTGGCTAAGTGAAGAAAGTACAAGTCAGTGTGGGCAGGGCTGGATGCAGATGGCACAGCCTGCCCGAGAAATAGAAGCTACTAGAACCAAAGCCATACCTTAAGAGGAGCACTAAATTCCACACTGTAGAAAACTACACCCCAATCCACTGCTGGGACAGCATGCCACAGGATTTGAAAACTTGAAGCATTTCCTTCAATCCTAAATGAAGACTCCTGAACAGAATCTGGGATCACCTTAGGAGTAAAGGAGAAGTTCCCTGGGATGAAATGAAAGAAAGAATAGAGGGAGAAAGAATGTAGTATTATAATCATCATAAAAAACATGGAAAATTAATAATAATTACTAATAGTACCAAAGCAAAATTATCCTTTATTTTAAAACATTCTGAAAATCATCTTATCTTCTGACCGTTTCAAGCTGTACATTTGAGTTAATAAACTACTATGCCTGTCCGGCATGGCTCAGTGGTTGAGTGTCAACCTATGAACCCGGGGGGTCACGGTTCGATTCCTGGTCAGGGCATATGCCCGGGTTGCAGGCTTGATCCTCAGAGTGGGGCATGCAGGAGGCAGCCAACCAATGATTCTTTCTCATCATTGATGTTTCTATCTCACACTCACTCTCCTTTCCTCTCTGAAATCAATTAAAAAAATATATTTTTAAAAAACATAAACTGACTGCAAGCAAACCAACAGAAACCACTAACACCCTTTTCCACTTAAAACATAATTCTTAAGAAAAAATCCCAACCTAGACATTTATTTAACAGGAAGTATGGAGGAGCGAGGGTAAACTAGAGTAAAATATTGTACCTGGCAGAGGTTTGAGGGACGTCTGAATAATTGTGAACTGGTTAAATTTGGCTGGTTCCAAAACAGAGACACTGGTTCGCTGACCTATTTCTTGAGCTGTTATAATCTTAAAGCCATTGATCCAGAAAAGCCGACCACTATAGTACATCAGTGCATTCTGGGAAATGTCAGAAGTGCTCCAGGCTGCAAATTCTGTGATGGTGGGCTCCCCAACACTGCTGAAACACGACACCAATTAGTGTGTGGTCCTGAGTGGGGGAAGGGCTGGTATATTCAAATACTGGAGGAAACATATGTTTGTGTACATAAAAACAGAAAATACTTTGCAACAATCATTGTCATTATTCTTAGTTTAATATTTAGTTGATTTTTACCTTGTTCTTAAAATATTCCTATAGCAATTTTTCTAGGGCTTTTCTTATCAATGTGATACTGCAATGGCAAGAGTGTTACACAGATTTTAATAAATGCTTGTGGTTCTTGGTAATACCCTACATCAAAGCCACAACCCAGTGACTGGTTTCTCCTCACTGAGCCATGTCTCCCTCTTATTCTTGGTTATTTACTTGCTTTCATTACTCTAGCCTGTTTGGTCCTTCCCTGTATACTAGTCACAAGTCTCTGTGGCTCCAACGATACTTACTAATTTCTAAAGCTTAGTCAAAATGCTTCTTTTCAGGCCAGGGAATTCAAGTAAACAGACGATTGTTTAAATTGCTTTTAGAGATTTTTTTCTCAGTGACAGGGAATTTTACAAAGATGTTTTTACTTTACAATTCTTATTGGTTGTTTTTAAAATGCCTCCAGTTACCTAGTACTCGGTAAAAACTCTCAATGATTCTCAACCTTTTAGAGCAGAGGTGTGACCTTTTGTAAAGAATGATTTCTCTAAATCTTGTTAAAGTGTTGACATTTCCCTCTTTAGAAAATTATCAAGTATGACATTTAAAATAAATGGAAGTTTTGTTTTGAGAATTTCACAATATCTCCTTGAAACAAAACAAAATGAAACAAAAACTACCTCAGAGGACCATAGCTGGGACTTCTGAACCTTATAAAGACGCATGTTCACTAGTGCTAGTCTCATAGTCCCTGCTCTAGTAAAAGGCTATTTATTCACACCTACTCAATGTGAGACAGTCTCTGGTTTGCCTTGTGGACTTTCACCCACGACACAGTGTCTTCTGCTCTCTCTATACATACCCTATCACAGTGTTCACCACATTCTACTGTAATTAGGTGTTTACAAACCTATCTTTCCCCACAAGCACAATGCCTGCAACTGAGTGGATGATCAGTAACTGTTTATTGAAAAATGAGTTCTCATGCGTTATCATTTATAACTGAGGGGCATGTCATGCTCTTCTTCTCAACCAATTGCCTTCAAGGGATATTACTTACCCCTGCCCCCTAAGAACAGCTCTGTACAGGTGAATACATTGACTGTCTTGAACCAACCAATACAGGAGCCCATCACTGAGGTCTAAAGTTAGAGCAATTACCTAAATAGAACATAAGGCAAGAAAACAGGTCAAATACACAGTTGAAGGATACCTTTGTGAACAAGTCACACTTAAGCTATAGATTTCTTCTTAAGATCCTCTTTGGAATAATAAGCTCAGTGATTTTTTTTTTTTACCTTTCACTGAATATAAGAATTATATGATTATGGCTATTACTATACAATTTGGATATAAGTGCACTGGTTTCCTAAAAAATCTTCAAAAGGCAGGGACTGTTACTCACTTCTATATATTTATCTCCAGCAGGATCAGCATCCCCTGGGAACTTGTAAAGACAAATTCTCAACCACATTCCAGGACCTACTGAATCAGGAACTTGAGTCTCTGTGTCATGTCAAGCCTTGCCCAGAGCAAGCCATAACTTTGGACTCTTCAGCCATATGTCAATGAATTTCATGGTTGTTGAAATCAGTTGTTCGCAAGCATTGCTGCACATTACAATCACCTGTGCAGTTCTTTAAACATCTCAATTTCCAGCTTGCATCCTCTTAAAGTGTGGTCTCTGGAGATGAAGCCCAGTCCCCTGGATGTTCTCTAACTCCCAGAAAATGCCAATGTGTCACCAACTTTGAGAGCCAATGGTTTAAACCATTTTAAATCATATCTTCTGTTCATTATAACCAAAAACATCCTGACACATTTTAAAAATATAATACAGGGTTTTTATGTTTTATAACTGGCAGAGTCACTTATACATATAGTCAGATTTCAGTTCTAGCTGAAATCTGAAAACCTCTCACTACCCTTTCTTTGACTTCTTGTTACCGTCCTGTCTTAATTTTATGTCCAACTGTCTAGGTAAGGCTGAGGAAAGACTGCTTCTCCTATGAAATAGACTGTGTGAGAGAGAAGTTACAATCCAAGAGATCTTTTTTGCTTTCTTTGGCTTTATGGGCATTTTTCAAATAAGCTGAGGTTGCCAGGAGTCTGACCTGAGTAGTGCATTCTCTCTATAGCAGGCCTGGAGACTGAGAGCTGTCAGATAGGATTAAAGTTGATGACTATATTTTTAGCAAGACACAGCAGCATATAAACAAAAATGATGAGCCAGTGAAAAATGTAAAAATAATACAATAATGTATCCTAGAACTAAAAATACTTTCTACATTACTCAAGGCCTACTACCAAGACATAATCTTGAGATGTATGAGAGTAAGAACCTTCTATGTTCTTATAAATCACAGCTTTCTGTTAAAAAACAAAACAAAAACTCAACCTACTCTTTTTCCAAAAGGTAAAAAATGATTCTAGCAACTCCTAACCTTCTGGCACTTGAATCGTGTCCATGCTTCATGCTAAAAGAGATTTTTTAAAAATATATGTATTGATTTCAGAGAGGAAAGAAGAAGGAGAGAGAGAGAAATATTGATGATGAGAGAATCATCGATTGGCTGCCTCCTGCACACCCCACACTGGGGATGAAGCCTACAACCCAGGCATGTGCCCTGACTGGGAACTGAACCATGACCTCCTGGTTCATATGTCAATGCTCAACCACTGAGCCACACCAGCCGGGCTAAAAGAGATTATTGATTACTTTTTCAGTTAAAATGAAATCGGGTAAATCTTGCTTGGTTATTTATGATGAGATGCACTTCCAAATAACAAGTTAACTGTATTTTATCTCTTTTTAAATTTAGTTTTTATTAAAGTATGGTTGACATGCAATATTATATTCATTTCAGGTGTACAACGTGGTAACCTGACATTTATATACCTTATGATGTGATCACAACAAGTCTAGTGACCATCTGTTAGCATACAAAGCTATTATGGTATTATTTCCCTATACTGTACATTATTACATCTTTGTGACTTTTATTCTATAACTGGAAGTTTGTGCCTCTCATTTCCCTTCACTCTTTTCCACCCATCTTCCCACCTCCGCCTCCTCTGGCAACCATCAAGATAAGGCAAACTACCAAAAATTTCCATCTTATATTTAAAAAATTTAAATCAATTATGACAATCAAATGAAAGAGAAATTTTGCTTATACCAAAATCTTACTGTAACAGTATTTCCTTTCAGATTCTACCTTAACTATACACAATAAGCAGAAACAGTATTATCATAACTATACAGTAGCACTACTCAGAATTATTAAATAATCAGATCTTATTCTCATTTTGTCACCTTTTTCCCAGAAAACCAGGGCTGTGCCTGTAGGATAAGGGGACTTTCCCCATTTAGCCTGGTGCTTTCAACTGAGTAGAGTGTGGTCCAATAGAGATATCCACCCACGGAATCCACCACCATGTCATTCACCAACAACTTCACATGCGTCACAATATCTGCGTGTCCTGTCAACACGGACTGCCTTTGTATCTATAAAACACAATCATATGATTTTTAAATGACATCATGATTCCTGAGTAGTTTATTGCAATTATTATTGAACTGCTGCATTTACCAATCATTTTTCCAATCATAAGTACTTACTGGCACTATGTATTAAACCTTGTAAACATAATAGTCATGGGACCTGCCCTCATGAACCTTATCACTTTTCATGTTCCTAAAGAGAAGGAATATGAATTTATTTTGAGTTACATACTTGCACTTCCTAATCATATATCCAGTCGAAACACTGGATAAGAATGTATTATATTGGATTCCTTTCTATCAACATGTTTTCCTAACATTAAATACTGCCATTATTAGTGAGTATGTATTATATGCCTAGCATTATATATTTTTTCAATATTTAAAATATAAGCTCTTGTAACCAACAACTTCACATGTATCACAATATGTAAATAGGGAACGGTAAGCCTATTAAGGATTTCTATTCCCTACTTTTTCAAGAGTAAACTGGGTTCAAAGAAGTGAAGTAATTTTTCCTGGAGTTAGACAGTTTTTAACAGACAGAGCAAATACTTATAGCCAATTTTCATATCCATTCTTCCACTTTCTCCTTCTAAACTATTTTCTAACTAACCCATTTTAGGGAGCAGTCTCTAATTAACCCCATCAACTCTGCCTACATGTCACTGGCACTTAGGAATTCAGACCATACCAGAATGCTAGCCTCTAAATACATTAATTTGTGTGTGCCTTCTATTATTTCATTTATGTATTTTTATCTCATTAAAAGACCAGGGGCAAATGGTGATAATTGCACAACACTGAACATATTAAAAAACCACTCCATTTTACATAACAAAAGGGTGAATTTTATGGTTTGTAAATTATATCTCAATAAAGTTTATATGTTGTTGTTGTTGTTGTTTTAAAAAAAGAGTAGGGGTATGTCTACTATTTATTTTATATTCCCAACTATGCCTATTCTCAAGGCTCTAAATATATTGGTAATAGATAAATGATTGTTGAGTGAATAAAAGTGCATACAATAGCACACTCCTGATTAGAAAACAATTTCAGTATGATACTTCTCGATCTGTCAGACTAGTGTTCTCATCACTAACCATCTTTCCTTTCAAAGTGTACCACTACACATACGCAAGATGTCTCCATTTTGCCTCCAGGTCCACTCTCAGCCCTCTCCACCCTCCTCTTCCCCCTGACGGCTGACACCTATGAACTGCATCACTGGACTCCCCTGTTCTCTGGTTTCCAGTGAGGTTCAGCCAACAGAAGCACTGGCAGGAGATGGGAGGGCAGAAGGAAGAAGGGGTTGGGGAACTCACTCCCCCAGACCACACATTTTGATTGGGTTTCATGTCAGCAACTCTCCTAAAGCTACAGTCCGCACAGGTTCTCCTTCTTTCCTTTGCCCCTTTATGCCTGGAATTAGTTATATCTTCCACACTTGCTGGCCCAGGGCATGCTTTGCCATCTTTGTTTTCCTTAGCCCTGTCTACACCTTTGAAAATGGTCCCTTCACGTAGGTGGAGTGAGCTATCTTCCTCCAGGACACTGACCCACTAGTGAACATTTTAATATATTTATTTTAAGATATTGTTGGAAATAGTACACCAAAGATATAAAATTTCCTTCAAAGATAGATGCATCTTAATAAAAAATTGAGCAGACTTAAAGACAAATATTCAATAAATAATAGCATAGATGGTACACTAATATGAAAAAAATCATGAAAATAACATTCAAGCCACTGAAGTGGGTGGGCATGGCTCTAGAGCAGCAGTTCTCAACCTGTGGGCCGTGACCCCTTTGGGGTCGAACGACCCTTTCACAGGGGTCGCCTAAGACCATCGGAAAACACATATATAATTACATATTGTTTTTGTGGTTAATCACTATGCTTTAATTACGTTCTATTTATAACAATGAAATTGGGGGTCACCACAACATGAGGAACTGTTATTAAAGGGTCACGGCATTAGGAAGGTTGAGAACCACTGTTCTAGAGCTTCCAGAATGCCAGGCTTTAACTTACCACATATGTCCTTCCAGCCCAGTAGAGAAAGTGACCCAGCCACTCGTAAGCTAACGCCCCTGCTCCTGCAATGTTGGGTATGTGATAATTCTTGGAGATATTCGTCCCATTCAGCAGCCACACGTGAACATCACCTTTCATGTCACTGTAGTAGAGTCTGTTGTTATACCAATCCATGTCTCAAAACAGAGTGAATTGGTAAAAGTTATTTTTTCCATATGTGCTGACACAGGCAGAGCAAGTCAAGAAATCACACTTGCACCCGAATCTAATAGCATATGCTAACATAGAGAGTCACTAGACCGTCAGGGATTGGTCAAGAATATTTCAATAATGTTACCTCAAAATCTTTACCACTGGAACTAGAGAGAGGAACTAATATTCACTAAGCATCTCCTCTTTCCCAAACATTGTCCCAGGCACTTCTACATGTCTCACTTAATTCTTAAAACAAAGCTATGAAATAAGAAGTATCCTCATTTTTGACATGGCAAACCTGAAACTCGGTGAGATTATCTGTTCTCCTGAGATCTCACAAATGAAAAGAGGGGGAGCCAAGATTCAAGCCAACTCCAAAGCATTCTTTCCATTAGAGAATATCTCCTAAGCCCAACTTCTCTGTTGGTCAGAAATGCTGTTGTACTTTTAATGGCCACACAAATAGATCAAATACTTAGGTAGTTACAGAAGATGCCCTCTTCCAGCAACGTCACTATTATATCAACCTGGAATGAAGACTTTTCTTCATTCTAATGTCTTCCTGGCAAAATGACCCACTCATTACTGAATAATCTTCTGTCATGAAATCCTTTCTTATTCTTTGTTTATATCTCCATGCAGCCTTTTCATGCTCCGGTCTTATAGCCAACTCATAATAAATTACAGAAGCGTAGCTGTCTTAGTGGAACAAGATAGGTTGTTGCTGTGAGACAACACTGATAGATTAAAATTCATGAGAAATATATCAAAGCGTTCCTGAAATGGGCATGAATCAATAAGTAACCTCACATTTTGAAATAATAAACAGCATTCCTACTTGAGAACCAACATTTTCTTAATCCTGTCCCTGAAAGTATAGTTCAGTGCATTTTTCCCCCTTTCATTATTGACCTAATACCAAAAGGCTTGATTCTTTGATTTGTCAAATAGCTTGGGAATGAGTAGAAACCTGTCATTCCAAGTGTAAAGGGACTTGGCATTTACCTGATACATTCTTTATATCAGAGGATAAGAATTCTCCTGGGCCAAAGCTATTTAATGGTTTACTCCAAAGCCCATCTTCTTTGACAGCCATGATAAATGGTGGTTCTGTAGCTATTGGGTGAAAAAAAGGAAATATCACAGAAAGTACACTTTTTAAGGCACACATATCTTAAGATTTTCTTTATAAAGTAAAAGAATAAAGAATATCAACATTTTAAAAAATACTGTAGAAGGTATGAGCAATTGTGTCTGCTTAATAGAATTATATATCATATTAAACATACTCTCAGATTTTTATGTAAATATTTAAAATTGAATGTGAAGAGAAATGTATGGTGATATTGCCTCTATAGCAATGCCATGGCAGAATTTGTTTTTGTGTGTGTGTGTTTTTTTGCTTTGGCTATTGGTTGCCATGTCCCCATTCGGAGCACCCAGAAGCAATTGTACTAACAGTAGCAGTAGAAATGGTACAATTAGATTCCCCCCTTTTTTTTCTGTCAAGAGGATGATATTTAGCATAATTCGCAGCCCCTCAACTTCTCTCTCCGCATGACCTTCAGAGCTCAAGGCGTGCTATTGTGCAATAAACCATAAGAAAGAAGAAAGTCATGAAGGAGAAGAAAAGGATGTTTTTCCCACAAACTATCTTTAGAAAGTTTACAATATCAGGCCAGACACATAAAACGTTACCCAGTGCTTTATGTGTTTTCCTAATCTCATATAAACATACTCAAGAGACCATCGCACCCTCATTCTAACTTCTTTACTACATTGGAAGTGACTAATCTTAAGGAACACGGGGAATAAGTCTTTCTTTGTCAGAATCACTCCCTAAATCAAGAACATTTTCTCACCTGGCACCAGGGTAGTACCCACCGAGGGCTCTGACCACGGGCCCGGCCCCTTGGGAGAACTTGCCCTCACGGAAACCTCGTATTGTGTCGCACTCTGCAGCCCGGGGACATTCAGCACGGTCCCCCGTATGTTAGAGAAAACGCGAGTGTTTCCGGGGACGTCTTGGGTTGATATTTTCACCTCGTAAGTCCAGTTCTGCCAGGAGGAAGGGCCTAATCAGAAGAGTTAAGCAATATTACTGGCCGGGATGATATCAGCAAGGGCAAACAAAGGGTCATGAGGAAATTCATCTCCAGCCTCACCTTGAATGGAAGGGTCACTGGGCAGTAATACCTGTTACCCCCCAATCATCAGGGTTAGTTTGATGGTATAACTAGAACAGTGTCCATTCCACCCATGCCACTCATCTTGCTTATTAATGGAGTCATCATTCCCAACAAATAGAGGACACTTGGCTGCTCAGAATTGTCAGAGGGGTCTCTCTCACACCGCCAGGTGGAACCAGGCTCCTAATAAGCAAATGCTGGTGGTGAATCTCTCATATAATTCTAGTGCTTGCCTAGCATTTTTCTCCCAGAAGCCCAAAATTTGCTTATTCATTTGCAGCTGTCTTTGTAATATACAGCAAACGGGCATAATTACTTTGTCTTAAAGTAAAAAATAGACAATGTTTGCTAAATACCTTAGGCGGCTAGGGATTGGCAAACTATAGTCCCGGGGCCAAATCTAGCCCACTCCTGTTTATGTAAATGCAGTTGTGCTGGAACACAGCCACCGATACTCATTTACATATTATCTATGGCTGTTTCTACACTACAAAGACAGTGTTGCATAGCCATATCAGAGACTGTATGAGCCACAAAGCTGAACATATTTATACCTGGTCCTTCATTTATAGAAAAAGTTTGCTGACCTCTGTGCTAGGTATTGTTCTAAGTGTTTTTTTCTTACGCATCTTACTTTAATCTACATGGCAATCCAATAGAAAGAATTAATATCCCCATCTTCCAATAGTGGAAACTAATTAAGTTGTCCAGGGTCATTCTGCTAATAAATGGCAAGACCAGCCTTTGAGTCCATGCAGGCCGGCTCCAGAGCCCACCTACTTACCCGCCACACAAACTGCCTCTCCAGAGACAGAAGTTCAGGTTTAGAGAGTTTTAGGGAGTTGTTCAAATTAATTAAAGGTTATAATGGATAGAAAACCTCAACCCAAGTGCCCTAACCCCCTGGCTAGTATTCACTCAGACTAGCTTGTCAGTGCCTGGCTCCTAGTAGACACTCAATAAACGTTTGAGCCATTCTGTTGGGATATAAATGAAAAACAGAGAGCCTCCCAATGCAACACTAGTAAATGCAGACTAAACGTGTCAAAACTCCTTTTTGCGCTAAGCAGCACTCTGGTTGATGAGTGCATCATCACAGATGAGCTCTCAAAACCGAGTGACAATGTCAAGCAGTTCAAGCTTTCCTTTCCTTTCCTTCCACTGAGGCCATGACCACGCTGGGGAGAGCGCACTCACTGGCTCCTATGGCGAGGGCAGGAGGCTTCCACTGGACCAGGGCCTGGTAGGATCCAAACAGCACAGAGAGCTGCTGCGGGCGGGCCGGCAGGGGGTATGGCTGGGTGTACCGGCTAAACATGACCAAGTTGCCAAACCCAAACTCTTCTATGTGTCTCAGGTCACATCCCACGATGAACTCATTAAAAGACAAAGCATCCTGCTGGAAAACAGCCTTGCCATCTGTGACAAGGAAGTGATTGTTCTCACAATCAAAGCTCTTCACATCAGCAAAGGGGACATGAGGGAGGACAAGATGGGAAGCAGAGCCATCCAGAAATGTTGACATGAAGACTTGGGTGGTGTCGTTGAAGTAAATGATTCGCTTGGACTGTGGCTTTACTGCGAAGTCCTTTAATGTGCAACTCTCCACAATACGCATGGCTTCTGAGTCCTGACCAGGTGGCACCTGGAGAGCTACTCTATAAATGCCATCTCTCAGGAGATAAAAGACATACCTGACGTGGGAACAAAAGAAGCCTGGTTTGACTCAATGCAAAGGTAGATGAGTAACCTCCCCAACCCATTGCTTTATCCAGTTGTGCAATCAGAATCAGGTATTTCCAGAGTCAATAAGTACAGGGTTTCCCAAGGGCCAAAAGAGTAAGGATAGTTACTAAAGATATGCTCTATTCATTTAAGTTAGAAGTTGGAACACTGAAAAATTTCAGCCTCGCTTCTAATGCTTAGCATCCTCACTATACATGACTTTTTAGAATCATAGACTTTAAAAGCAAAAATGATTTAAGGATTTTCTAATGGAACCTACTGTTAAAGGAATACATATTATATAAAAGTTACACAGCTACACATGTTATTTATTATAAAAAACTTTTCTCCAAAAACCACAAATTTTTTAAGTCTAATTCTGTCAATAAACTTTCCCATGCATTGTAAATGAAAAAATGGAAGAAAGCAAAAACATTTCAACCACTTTTTTAAAACCTCAGTTATTAGTTTATGATAAATATTTAGCAAAGCTACTTTGCATTTTTAGTAGACTAAGCTTTTAAAAATATTTACAATTGCAGCACTAGGGCTACCATTTTACAACTCATGAAGAAATACTGCAAAAGGGAACAGGACCACCCAGTAATCAGAAGAAAGAAGCCAATGGAGGAATTTTGAAAATTCATATAATTTGAAGCCAAACATCGAGGGAGCGGTGCAAGTGAATTTATAATAATGAAAAAGGAAACACCACTAAAATACTTCATTGATAATCAAATCAGGATATTAACTAAAACATAAAACTATTCATTTGAATGTAGCCAATTTTGGATTTGTGTTCATGGAGACAGATGTACTTTTGCTTAGTAAGTCTTTCTCATCACAAACCCACGGGTTGGCAGGGTTCGAAGCTACAGCTGTCAAATCATTGTCCTCATCCTATTCAGTCCCACTCGTGTTCTCCGGATGACTATTCCAAATCGGTATCAATATGCTCAAGACTCCTGTGCCAGAACATTATCCTGAGATATAAACTCCATGCTGAAATATGAACCTACGCTCTTTATCCTAAGGGAAGATTGTGGCAGGCAAAAAGCAGAAACACCTTGGCTCTTAACTTCCTGCTTTTGTTTCCCAAATTCAAATTGTTTAGGGATTTCAGAGTAGATAGAATTATGGGGCAAAGATTATAATTCTTATACTGAAGCAGAGAGATATAAACCATGCTGAAATATGAACCTACGCTCTTTATCCTAAGGGAAGATTGTGGCAGGCAAAAAGCAGAAACACCTTGGCTCTTAACTTCCTGCTTTTGTTTCCCAAATTCAAATTGTTTAGGGAGATT